TTTATTTTTGTTAAACATCAAAGCATTGGCATCTGACATTTTTCAGTTGTACAAACAACTATCTAAAATTGCACTCCTCTCTAAGTTCAGCAAAAAATTAATAAAAACAAAAATAAAACAAGTGCCGTTTTTTTTAAGTTTTCCATGACGTTTCACTTTAAATGTTACTTGATCATCCATGTTTCTGGTCATCAAGTTTCATTGCTTTGCCTAATGCTTGAACGTCCATGTTTCTGGTCACGAACAAGATTCACTAAACATTTAACACTAGAACATGATTCTAGTCATCAACAAGTTTCACTTCACAAAACACTTCGTCCACGTTTATGGCAAGGAACAAGTAGCACTCTTCAAATGACTCTGAAACAGTCATGATTCTGTCACTGAACAAGTTGAACTCTGGACTGAACACCCATGCCTAAAGCCTGTTAACCAGTCATATTGTCCTTATGCACTTTGTTCTTCATCCTTTCTTTTCATCCACCATCTCTGTCTGGGGCCAGATACAGCCATCTTTTAACGGTGGAATCAATGTCTTTCTCTGTGGCATCAGATGTTAGACGGTTACGTCTCACAGCCGCTGAAAAACACAAGCACACATGGTGTATAATTAACTTATGCATCATCAGGTAATGTGGATATTGAATAAAATGCAAAATTACATCAAAACCTGAACCAAGATTCAAATAAAAATTTTACAGGCGAAAAAATACTACAGGCGAAAGATCATTTAAGATCATGTTTATTTTTACTTTTTTTTAATTCAGTGTATGTTTTTGTTATGCAACCTTGAGCTTGTATTGAGGCATACATAAAATGTTCTCTGCCTCCTTCACTTTCTTAATCTCTAATATAGTGAATTCATGCTCAACCATGCTGGTTCCAGATTTGTTTTTTTCCATTCATGCTTTAAGCATTTAAGTGAAGAGAGAAAGAGAGAAAAAAACCTTTGTAAGGTCAATCTCCACTTGATTTAAAGGATTTTTTTTTTTAACTGGACAAAAAGACAAAAGGTACAAGACTGTGTAATTAAAGGCTTTATAAAAAGAACTGCAATCCCATGTATCACAACAAAATCAAATTAAAAACAGCATGACAGTGTAGTTTTTCAAAAAGAATTCCACTTTCAAACTATTATTTAAAAAATATTAATATAAAAAAAAAAGAATAGAAAAAAAGCAAACTGATGGCTTAGGTAGAACTGACTACAATCAATTAACAAACTAGCTCACATAAAGTCTGACTTTGCAGGTTTACAAAATGGTGTTAAAATTTAAATTCCATTTTAGACTGGAATTTTTACTTCCGGAACCTGACTGTTGCACTATGTACTTCATCTGCTCGCTCCTTTTCCTCTGCCCTTCTCTTCACCCCTCCTCTTCCCATTTCCTCTTTTTGTACTCCCATGCTCTCTTCTTCTAATCATCTTAAAACTTGAAAATCTATTAAAATAACTTTTTTATATTAAAAGTATAAATGACTATTTATATTTGTAAGGATCCACCCACCAGCCCAAGAGGAATAAGTGGCCTGGTCGAAGGTTTAATGTATATTTTGTCTTTTACTTGCACTTCTACATTATTTAGGATTTCATTTCATTTTTAGTCTAGCTCCATGTTCAATCTGACTCTAATTTCAAGTGATCATTTAATTTAGGCAATATTACTAATTAAAAACTGATCACAAAAATCAATTGTATGTTAATTTAGATATTTGATTATTCTGGAAATCCGATACTTTCATATTCATAATTTGTTCATTAAGGACCTACCATTGCTCAGAAATTCACTCTGTGAACAGTGAACGCACAGACACAAACTTGCCAGTTCTGTAACTTACTTAGATAATACATGGTGATTATAATACTTTTAAATACTCAACTACTCAATGCTCAATACTGTTTATTACTTATTGTCAACTTAATTTAAAGGTTGGATGTTCAATGTCAAAATTCAACATATATTACACAATACGGATCTTCATAAGTATTGTTAGAAATTTTCCGGTTCCGATTATGGTTCCATTTAAATGCACTATTATAAAGTGCTACCACCAGACCCGGAGATCGGCTGAATGGATTTGAAAATGGTAAAACTCAACTTTTTAACTCTAGGGAAGTTGGAAAATTTGCCTATTTTCAAAAAAATGAGTGTTCCTTTAAGGATTGGTGAAGGGACAGATAAGCAAATGGTCTTTCTCCCAGATCTTCCCGTCAAGATTAGAAAGTTTATTGTTTTGTTGGATGCCATGCGTGTTGCCAGAGTTCCTGAGTTTTGGATTCACAAGGAATTGATTTCATAAGGAAATTGTTTCACTCCTTACATATTGGGAATAAATGGCAACTTACCAATCACAACATCTCGTATCTGTAGGCGTAGGAAGCTAATCTTTCCATTAAATCCCCTCATGTTAACTTTCCTCGCCAAGGAGTTGGTAAACAGACCATGCATGATTCTCCAAACAGACTCCTGCACGTTCGCCCCACCTTTAAGAGCCAGTGTGTTTACCTGAAATCATTTATGTAAATAGTTTTAAGCAGTGGTTTAATATTTTAGAACTTTAATCACTAAATACAAAGATTATTATAGATGAAATTGGTCAAAATATTCTCTCTCTTTAAAAGTTTTATAGTTTCATTTTAATCTGTCAGGATTAGGTATAATATTGAATGCAGGATTAAATCATATCTCATAGTGGAAAAATTATGAAAAGAAAAGTCCTGGTGTAGAGGACTTTGGCTACAGTGTATGGATATACTATTCTACAATATATATAATATCATCGCCTGTCATATATGAGGCATGAATATAATTTTACAGATAAACACACATAATTAAATAAGCAACAGCTTTATGTTATGCATTTTAAAAATGTATTTCAATATATTTTACAGCGTTTCACATATATGTGAATATATTACCTTTCTGTATGGGAAAACATTGTGATTTTACTCAAAAATATTTGAAAAGGATTTTAAATGTGGCTCAAGATCGGCCATACATATATGGCCCACATATCTATATTTGACATCTGGGCCAAATACTCCATTTGACATCTGGCCCATGTCTTGGGTGCCGTCTTAAATCCAGTGCCATCTCTGCCAAACCCGGGCCATGTTTGGCCCACATGCTGTATGCCAGTTCCGGATGAATGCCAGCTGTGCCAGACACATGCCAAATCTGGGCCAAATTTGTTTACTGAATAATACATAAAGTCAAATAAAATGTCCTGAAAATTAATCATGACTTGTTTAAGTGGATAGGGCTACATCACACCATAAACTGAAAGAGAATATGAAAGCAGTGAATGCAAAACATAGTTTGAAGTCAGTTATGTTATATATATATAGCCTATATATATATATATATATATATATATATAACAGGATATACTATATCATACATTAATCGCCTGTCATATATGAGGCATGAATATAATTTTACATATAAACACAATAATTAAATAAGCAAAATGAGCTTATTATGTTATGCATTTTGAAAATATATTTTCAAAATGTATTTCAATATATTTTACAGCGTTTCACATATATGTGAATATATTACCTTTCTGTATGGGAAAACATTGGGATTTTACTCAAAAAGGATTTTAAATGTGGCTCAAGATCGGCCATACATATATGGCCCACATATCTATATTTGACATCTGGGCCAAATACTCCATTTGACATCTGGCCCATGTCTTGGGTGCCGTCTTAAATCCAGTGCCATCTCTGCCAAACCCGGGCCATGTTTGGCCCACATGCTGTATGCCAGTGCCGGATGAATGCCAGCTGTGCCAGACACATGCCAAATCTGGGCCAAATTTGTTTGCTGACTGGGAATGCGCTTTTGGGTCAAACTGCTGTGTTTTTGGCCATGATCAATGCATTGCCACTTTAATTCAGCGTAAGCCGCGCGGCAAAAATAGACAGGACGCCGAAACGATCGCGGCACTGCTGCTCCTGCTCTGCTACGCGCTGCCGCGCCGCCTCTGCGTGCGGTGTGAATGCTCTAATCTGTTAACATGGGCGCCGAAAAAAATACGCGCTGCTTACGCTCTGCTAACGCGTGCAGTGTGAAACCGGCGTAACGGCCAACGCCCGTTTCACACATACTCCGTGTGCAGTGCGTATGCGGTGCGTGTTGCGGTGCGTATGCGGTACAGGAGCAGCACGCGCTATAGTGCTTTCACATATGCTGCGTGCGTTTGCAGTGCGCAACTGATCCGCAGCTGTACCACAAACACATTTACTCACTTTTTGTATTTCAAAAAATCATCAATCAAATCAAGTCATCAGCAACTTTTATTTAAAAAAAGTCTTTGCCTCCAGTGCGATTCTCTTTGTAAGCTACACATATACACTCTTTAATAGACGTATTCACGTTTAAACACATTTTAAACAACGTATTATTCAATGCATTACTTTTATATAGATTATATATTAAGTTGCTCAAGCAAGTGGTAACATATTTAACCATGTACTTATATTAAAATTGCAAACATTTTAAATTAAAACTTAAAATTGACAAAAACAGCAGACTCATACCTTTTCTTTTGCATAATTTAAATCTTAATACAATAAATCTTGCATGTCACAAAGAACTTGTTTTTCCACCTCAACGAATGAGACGAGTGTCGTTCATTATGTGGTCTTGTAAATTGTAGCTTTCCTTGCTTTATCCCGGTCTTAAAGTAAGATGACTATGAAAAATAGTAGTATTTAATTTAATGCATTTATGGTTACATTTTATTTAATTAAATACATTTATGGTGAGATTACATTTTATTGAATTAAATGGATTTATGGTGAAATTACTACATATTCAGGTCAGTCTGTGTTCATTTTGACCACGAACCGTGCGCTGTAACTTTAATTCAGCGTTTGCAGCACAGCAAAAATAGACTCGGTGCGGAAACGATCTCTGCACTGCAGCTGTATACCGCTGGAACGGATCGACGGACCGCACCCGCGTGCAGTGTGAAAGCTCTAACCTGTAAACATGGGTACGTAAAAAAATACGCACCGCATACGCACTGCAAACGGAGTATGTGTGAAACGGGCATAACGCTCATGAATTGCGAACGACCCATCATAACGCATAGTCGGACAGGACAGGACACACAATGAACAACACAAGCAAGCCAGTCAGTCAACGAGAGACAGGTATGGCGACGAGCTTAACAAGCTTAATTTAATTTTGCCCAGTTGTGGCCTGTTGAGGGGCAATAAATATCAAAAGTTCCAAAACATCTATTGTGTTATTTGCATTGATCCACTATATAAACATAATATCTACATGGCATTTGATTGGAGGCTAGTCCCACAGCAACAATTTTTTTTTTTAGATGTGTGTACAATGTTTCATGTTTCTGTTAATAATGTATTGTATTAAGTGTCCATTTCATTATAATATTCAGATTTATCATAAATAATTGAACATGCACATGTATTGTAAGTTCCGTTAAAGAGGGGTAGAGGTGCGGTCACATTTGAGCATTTAAAATTTAATTTTACTTGAAAGTAACGCAATAGTTACTTTCTTAAGTAACTAGTTACTTTTAAAATTTGTAACTGAGTAACTAATTTAGTTACTTTTTGGAAGTAGTAACTAGTAACTGTAACTAATTACTTTTTAAATGTAACTTGCCCAACACTGTTCTTGAGCCATCGCTATCAACCAATTCAGCAGCACAGCCACGGACGGAACCTGGTAACGTAACACGTAAGAAGATATATCTTAACAGCCTCCTAAGGTACAGTTTGGGGAACACGCCAAGGAAAGGTAAACCTTTAGTTAAAGGGGTGGTTGATTATGATTTCACTTTTTTAACTTTAGTTAGTGTGTAATGTTTGAGAATAAACAACATCTGCAAAGTTATGATGCTCAAAGTTCAAAGCAAAGTGAGATCGCTTGTTTGTAGATCAATATATGTGATGTGATTATATGTGAGTAAAAGCCTAAATTAAGTTCATCAGTTCACCATATAAAGTGATCAAGTGTCTTCATAAAACTAAACCACTCAAATCACATGGATTAGTTTTACAATCTCTTTATGAACTTGACCTTTGAAACATCAATGGAGGGACAGAACGCTCTCAGATTTCGTCAAAAAGAACTTCATTCGTGTTCTGAAGTCTTATGGGTTTGGAATGACATGAGGGTGAGTAATTGATGACAGAATTTTTATTTTTGGGTGAACTGTCGCTTTAATGTTTTACTCCTCAGGTTAAATTACATTACTAAAAAAGGCAACAGAAACCAAACCTGCAAACTCTCTTTCTGACACTGAAATCTATGGGATTAATATCCTGCCATGATTCAAAACTGAAAATAAAGTTCTGAAAGGTTGAAACCAAGTGTTCGAAAACTCAGAATCTTACAAAAAAAAGTTTAGCAAGATCGAAAAATAAGATTTGCAAGCTTGCAAAATGTTTTTTTTTTTTAAAACATCTCTGCAAACATGTTGTTTTTGAGATTTCCTTCTTCAGAACTGCAACATATTTTTTTTTATGATGTTGCACAAACAATTTTTCAGAGTTTCAAATTTGTCACTGTTCTCCTACTGTATTAGTTTGTTTTCCAGGTTTGAAACCTTGTAAATGGGGATCTGAAAACTGGTGTGCAAATGTGTGAAAAAAAGTTTTGAAACTCTAAAAACAGAGTTTTGCAGGCTTGCAAAGTGGTAAAAAAAAAAAAAAATCTCTGCAAACATAATTTTGTTTTTGAGTTTTCCTTCTTCAGAAGTGCAACACTCTTTTTTACAGCGTTGTGCAATCATTTTTTCAGAGTTTCTAATTTGTCACTGTTCTCCCACTGTATTAGTTTGTTTTCCAGATTTGAAACCTTGTAAATGGTGATCTGAAAACTGGTGTGCGAATAGATGAAAAAAGTTTTGAAACTCTGAAAACTGAGGTTCGAAAGGGCGAAACATTACATTACATTTGCACTCCTATTGCAGACTATTTTTTCAAACACCCACTTTGCGGAGATACGCCCACACAGTTGCGAGCTTGCGACTCATGTGACTTGTGGCAAATCTGAAACTCTGAAAAATTGTTTGTGCAACATCGTACATTTTTTTTGCAGTTCTGAAGAAGGAAATCTCAAAAACAACATTATGTTTGCAGAGATATATATATATTTTTTTTACATTTATTATTACTTATTTTTCGATCTTGCAAAACTTTTTTTTTGTAAGATTTTGAGTTTTCGAACACTTAGTTTCAACCTTTCAGAACTTTATTTTCAGTTTTGAATCATGGCAGGATAATAATCCCATATAAATCGGCCATTCACGTGATTAGTTCAGTTTTTATTTGAATGTATATCTGAAGGGAAATTACTGTCTTCATAAAAGTTTCAATGGAATCTTCTTTTCAGGAGCGAGACACTCTAGAACCAGATGGGCAAGGACCTCCAACCTCTGAGGTCAGGAGGTCATCTAGTTGAGGGGGGCTTAAAGGGTCAGCTAGCAATACATCGAAGCTAGCAGTAAAGGGCCTTTTGTCTGTGGAAAACTACTGGGAAACCCTGCAGGGAAAAGGACCTTCAAGCGCAGAATAAAGATTGCCCATTTCTATCTCAGCGTCTCACTCACTCCACAGGGTAACTGCTGTGTGGCGACTGGGTCTATTCTTGCAAGAATAAATACTTCTCTTTTATAATTTTGATTCCAAGTTGTCTCTTACGCAGTGATGATGGTTAATAAGATGTTTTGCCACAACAAGATGGAGTTTATTAAAGAGGAGATTGAAGACATTAGTGATCCAGGACCATCCAGAATAAAACATGAAGATACAGAGGAACAAATAGGTTGGTTTCCCTTCTTGATTCTTCTATAATTATATTAATTAATAATCAGTATACGGATGATAAATAATAGAGAAATGCATGTAAATAATAATAACATTGTGTATAACTGAACTGACCTTTCCACATCAAATATACATACTCACACAGACAGATATGTCTTTTCTTCTAAGTTTTCTGCTAAGTTTTTTTCTTTTTCTCACAACTGATTCTAACAGCTTAATACATTTTATTTTAGACCAACTGGAAGTTGAGGAGCAAAGACAGAATCTAAATGATGTAAAGAAACACTGTGACTTCAAAACTCAAGGAACAAAAGCCCAAAAGCTGCACTCCTGCTCTCAGTGTGGAAAGAGTTTCCAAAAGAAAGCAAAGCTAAACAGACACGTGCGAATTCACACTGGAGAGAAACCGTATACATGCACTCAGTGTGGAAAGAGTTTTAATCAATCATCAAGTCTCAGTTATCATCTGCACATTCACTCTGGAGAAAAACCATTCAACTGTGATCAGTGTGGTAAAGATTTTATTTCATCATCAAGTCTAAAACAACACCAGAAAGTTCATTCAGATGAGAGGCCTTATGTGTGTTCTCTCTGTGGAAAGAGTTTTTCACGACTGCTCACTTGTAAACGGCACCAGAAAACACATAATGAAGTGAGAGATCATGTGTGTTGTGACTGTGGGAAGAGCTATATTACATCTAGTCAACTGAAACTGCACCAAAGAATTCATACTGGAGAAAAACCTCACAAGTGCTCATATTGTGACAAGAGTTTCGCTCATTCTGAATCACTGAAATATCACGAGCGAGTTCATACTGGAGAGAAGCCGTATTACTGTACTGAGTGTGAGAAAAGTTTCAGAAATTCAGGAAGTTTGAGAAATCATCTGCGCATTCACTGGAGAGAAAACATTCAACTGTGATCAGTGTGGTAAAGATTTTATTTCATCATCAAATCTAAAACAACACCTGAAAGCAACTACTGTTTCATGGCTGAAAAGTTTTAAACAACTCACTTGTAAACTGCACCAGAAAACTCATGATAAAGTGAGAGATCATGTGTGTTGTGACTGTGGGAAGGGCTTTACATTTACCCAACTGAAACGGCACCAAAGAATACTTTTATTTTTTGTTTTATTTAAATTATTTTATTCCAAATGCAGTTTCTCAGATCCACTTAATTTTTTTACTTACATTTACTCAGTTCATATGGTATGTAATTGATTTCAATGCTTTAAAAATGAATCAATAGTTTTAACTGTAAAAACGTTTCACCAAAACATTTTAGTAAATCATAGTAAAAGTTTTTAGAGTGAGTGTGAGAAGAGTTTCAAACATTTATCAAGCCTTCACACGTCATGATTCCTGCCTTGTGTTCCCCTTGTCTCATGTGGACTAGGTGTCGGTACACGATCCGTTCCATCTGCACGATCCGTTCTACGCATGCGCGTAATTACGTAGTAGAAGACGTCACGGTTTTCCTACACTATCGGTACCACGCATGCGTGGATGAAACACTTTACGGCCAGGCGGCACAACTTGCGGCATACCGGTATTTGTGTAACATAGACATTCAATGTTTGTGTAACTTTAGTTGTATTTTGTTTAACATTTCACAGCGGGTCTATTTTGATGTTTTTAAATGTAGCTTACGCTGCATTACGATGTGTTTACGTGGTTGCCAATCCAAAATAATAAAGGAGTTGTGACTGTGAGTTATGAACATACATGATCAGTTTCCCCCACTCTCCTTTGCGATTCATTGCTGTATGGTATTAGGCTTAACTGACTTAACTTGCCGTGTTTTGGTCTGAGGTCAGTATTGTCAGATGGTTTGGTGTCATTTTTTTTGATTAAAATTTAATTATTAAATTAAATAAATTATTAATTTATAATCGGCTATTAGTTACCTTTTAAGTTGAGTAATTTTGTATTAGTATGGGTCTATATAGGCTAATATATATCTATATAATCTAAATGCGGAAAATAATCTCTTTAATGTTGTTTACAAAGACAATAAAGGAACATAATATGCATTTCTGCCTAGACTATCTGCACTTACGTGAAAAAAGAACTACAAACAAGTCTGGGGAAACGTTATAGAGTATTTCAAACTGACAATGGAAATGACTTGAAAGAAGCATGTGTACACACAGAAGTGACATGGGACCAGTGGTGGACAGTAGTAAAGTACACTTTTTGAGTATCTTTATTTATCTTTATAAAAACACACACACACACACACACACACACACACACACACACACACACACACACACACACACACACACACACACACACACACACACACACACACACACACACACACACACACACACACACACACACACACACACACACACACACACACACACACACACACACACACACACACACACACACACACACACACACACACACACACACACACACACACACACACACACACACACACACACACACACACACACACACACACACACACACACACACACACACACACACACACACACACACACACACACACACACACTTTAACAGCTCTCAGTCCACTTCAGACGAACACTCTTTCCGCTGTAACAGCTCAGTCACTTCAGACGAACACTCTTTCCGCTGTAACAGCTCAGTCCACTTCAGACGAACACTCTTTCCGCTGTAACAGCTCTCAGTCCACTTCAGACGAACACTCTTTCCGCTGTAACAGCTCTCAGTCCACTTCAGACGAACACTCTTTCCGCTGTAACAGCTCTCAGTCCACTACAGACGAACACTCTTTCCGCTGTAACAGCTCAGTCCACTTCAGACGAACACTCTTTCCGCTGTAACAGCTCAGTCCACTTCAGACGAACACTCTTTCCGCTGTAACAGCTCTCAGTCCACTTCAGACGAACACTCTTTCCGCTGTAACAGCTCTCAGTCCACTTCAGACGAACACTCTTTCCGCTGTAACAGCTCTCAGTCCACTTCAGACGAACACTCTTTCCGCTGTAACAGCTCTCAGTCACTACAGACGAACACTCTTTCCGCTGTAACAGCTCTCAGTCCACTTCAGACGAACACTCTTTCCGCTGTAACAGCTCTCAGTCCACTTCAGACGAACACTCTTTCCGCTGTAACAGCTCAGTCCACTTCAGACGAACACTCTTTCCGCTGTAACAGCTCAGTCCACTTCAGACGAACACTCTTTCCGCTGTAACAGCTCAGTCCACTTCAGACGAACACTCTTTCCGCTGTAACAGCTCAGTCCACTTCAGACGAACACTCTTTCCGCTGTAACAGCTCTCAGTCCACTTCAGACGAACACTCTTTCCGCTGTAACAGCTCAGTCCACTTCAGACGAACACTCTTTCCGCTGTAACAGCTCTCAGTCCACTTCAGACGAACACTCTTTCCGCTGTAACAGCTCTCAGTCCACTACAGACGAACACTCTTTCCGCTGTAACAGCTCAGTCCACTTCAGACGAACACTCTTTCCGCTGTAACAGCTCTCAGTCACTTCAGACGAACACTCTTTCCGCTGTAACAGCTCAGTCCACTTCAGACGAACACTCTTTCCGCTGTAACAGCTCTCAGTCCACTTCAGACGAACACTCTTTCCGCTGTAACAGCTCTCAGTCACTACAGACGAACACTCTTTCCGCTGTAACAGCTCAGTCCACTTCAGACGAACACTCTTTCCGCTGTAACAGCTCAGTCCACTTCAGACGAACACTCTTTCCGCTGTAACAGCTCTCAGTCCACTTCAGACGAACACTCTTTCCGCTGTAACAGCTCTCAGTCCACTTCAGACGAACACTCTTTCCGCTGTAACAGCTCTCAGTCCACTTCAGACGAACACTCTTTCCGCTGTAACAGCTCAGTCACTTCAGACGAACACTCTTTCCGCTGTAACAGCTCTGTTCATTTAAACGAACACTCTTTCCGCTGTAACACACACACACACACACACACACACACACACACACACACACTAACAAAATGTATAGGGGTGACTGTGCACCCCAACTCCAGCATTTACTCTCAGGTTGAGGGTGTCTTTGCAAATAATCATGAAGGTTTCCATGTCCTGAATGTTTTCAAAAATGAACGTGAAAGGCTCCATGGCATAGCACTTCCTCGACTCCATCAGCACCCTCCACGCTTTCATTTGGTCATCATGATCCATCAACATGTATGATGGTTCTTGCACCTGGCCAGTGAAAAGCCCAATACTGTTCCTCACGATGTATTCTGCCTGGTACATATGTTTCAATGTGAGGGGCAGCTCCTCCACTTCTACCTGTTCCTCCTATGATAAAGTAAAATACCATAAATTAAGACTACAACATAAAATGTTTTGGTCTTTCAAACGGGGCCTAAAGACATCTTTTCAGCAAAAAAATGAACAAATGTCTCTTGGAGATGGCTGCAATGTAACTAAGGGTGAAAGATTGACAACGTTTACATGCACCCTCATAATGCGATTATAATGGGATTTTAGCAATATTGCAATTATATTTTACCTCATGTAAACACAATACTTAAAGCAACACTATGTAACATTTTTACCTTAAAATAATGTTTCCAAAATCTTATCAGTGGTTCATCAAGTCATAACAGGGTGAAAGGCACTTCTGCCATTGCCTGACGGGGTCTGTATCGCTTTTACTGGCACTACGGAACTTCGGGGTTCGGGTAGTAACTTGGCTTGCTACGGTAGTCGGTGTTACCGGTGTTAATTTAACATTTAGAATGCGTACGTGAAAATGGTTGTCTGGTTAGTTTGGCCATACCTTGACTATTTGGGGTCGAGAAATCCTATAAATAGGTGGTAGGGTGCCTGCCATCAGCTGTTCTGCCTCCTCTGTCCAGAAGGCAAAGCGCTGCCCGAAGTTCTGCCCATGCCTATTCAAAAGTATGGTACTTTTAATGTAGCATAATTGTAAAGCAGACCAATGTTTTACTGCTTGAAATATATGCCCTACCTTGCGATCGAGAATTTCTCCAGAATCTGGAGACACCACCACTTCCGAATAGATGGTATGTCAGTCTGTAATACACATGTAATATTGGAGTCTTGCATTGTTTGTTTTTTAACATTCTTTGATACATATACATTCCATGAATTACAACTTACATCCAAAAAGTGAAACATGGCACCAGTACAGATGCAGAGGGCATACTGTTAAAGAGAAAAATAATTACTATGGAGATTTAGGACAAACAGGAAAAATTGAGTAGAAATTGTATAAGTTTACCATAAGCATGAATATCCCACAGCTCTGTCCATCTGACTGAACTGGAAATGGCTGAAAAGTAATATACAGTTACTCAGATGTAATGTTGACAACCATATATAGTGTCCGCTGAGCAAAATGAAATGGCAAATTTACATAGTAAGTAAAGTTACATCAAAATCTTTGCCCGTCTTCTCCACCCACGGTCCATTAGCCACTGCTCCTGCAAGTTGTCTGGAAAAACATTATGCAAAACTGAATCCATAGAACAAGGTTTTTTCCTTAATCCTAAAGCCAGAGAACAAGGCTTTTACTCAATCCTAAAGCCAGAGAACAAGGTTTTTACTCAATCCTAAAGCCAGAGAACAAGGCTTTTACTCAATCCTAAAGCCAGAGAACAAGGTTTTTACTCAATCCTAAAGCCAGAGAACAAGGCTTTTACTCAATCCTAAAGCCAAAGAACAAGGCTTTTAATCAAACCTAAAGCCAGAGAACAAGGCTTTTACTCAATCCTAAAGCCAAAGAACAAGGCTTTTAATCAAACCTAAAGCCAGAGAACAAGGTTTTTACTCAATCCTAAAGCCAGAGAACAAGGCTTTTACTCAATCCTAAAGCCAGAGAACAAGGCTTTTAATCAAACCTAAAGCCAGAGAACAAGGCTTTGCCTGAACAGGATATCAGTCCATTTCACTCAGTTTGATCTGTATTTGTTAAGGCTGTTACACAATGTCATCAGATTGAAGATTTTCA